AGGAGGAGGAGGAGAAAGAAGAAGAGGGCGGTGAGGGTTTGGGAATGCGGTCGGCGTTAGTTGTCGGCTTGGAGGATGGTGCAAAGTTGGACAGGGAGTGAGCAGTTGGTGTGGTCCGGGTGTTGCAATTGATACGCAGATGTCTTATAAGGCCGATTAGTGTCGGGAACGTCCGCTGACATCGTGGGTAGGTCGGGGATGGTTGAGCGTTGGCGTTGCAGGGTGGGTGAAGTTGGATGTTGCAAGGCTCGCGTTTGACTTTGGCGGCGGCGATACGGTTGGCTTCGTGGATCGCTGCGCCAGTCTTCACTCTCATTGTCCATGTCGGGCGGTCTCGGGTAAGGTTTTACCAGTTGGCCGAGTTGATCTGCAGACTCTTCAGGGGAGTATTCAGAGTGTCATTGCAACGGCGGCATTGCCTCCTTGAAATTCAGCGGGAATTCTCCTTGATTCCACATCTTCTGGAAGAGCACCGTCAGAGGACCCATGAGTTGGTCCGACGTGCTCGTAGATCTCAGCAGGGATCGCTTCCCAACTGAACGCTTTCCCACTGAAGAGTTGCTGCACGGCACTGATGGTTTCGTGGAGATAGAGCGGGAGGTCAATGTCGGTGTTGGTCTCCACTTGGGGCAGACGGGCGGTGGCAGCGTCGGAGATGGTGGAGTGGCGGTTGAGGACGCCTCTGAAGTGCACGGTCCATCGCTGCAGAACTTGCGTCTTCTCGGCAAGCAGGGTAGTTCTGTCGGGACTTAGAAGAGGAGTGACTCCCTTGACTATGGGACCGTAGACAGCCTTGACTGCGACGAAGGAATTCTTCCATTCGCTGCGGTCCGCTTATCCTTGATTCTCCTCGGGCTTGCGAGCCATTCAGGCCTCGTGCATCTCCCGCAGCAGCTGTTGTGCAAGGCGGCGACTACGGTAAAAGGCCGCTTTGTTGTCATCTGTAGGGCGGGTAACGTAGGCTTTGTGCTGGGCGGTTCTTCTCGGCGAGCAGGTTGCTTACGTGAATTACAGGTTCTACAAAGGTCATTACACTGTCCTGACGAATGTGCCGAACGCGGCCAAACTGACTGCCCCTAGTAACTTCAACGTTTTCGCTGAGACATACCACGCTGCCTCGTGGGGAGTGCTTGGTCCCCATGGACTCGGCGGCTGAAAAGACAACGACACCCTTGAACGGACGTGCGCAGAACACCGCCTCTCCCTAACCAGCACATCCTTCTGCCTTCCGACCCCGAGGAATGTAGCGTGGATGCATCCCCG